AAAAACTTTCAATATATAACAAAAGAAGGAGAGCACTTTTGAAGTGATGATTGATCTAGCAAAAGCAGAGCACTCTTGAAATGATCATTGACCTAAAAAGAAAGGAAAGCACTTTAAAGTGATCTGATCCTTGATTTAAACCAGATCTTGATCCATTTCTCCTCATTTTCTTTTGATTTTTTGTGTTTACGTTTTCTTAAGTGTTCTGCATATCTACCTGCTTACATTATTTTGCATTCAAAGTTGAACGCTTATCACTATTGTTTCGCTTTTATCATTGTAAATGCTGTCGATTATAGATTTCCAAAATGTCGCTAACAGAGGCAGAATTGTTGATCACTGGCGAGCTGCCAGTAAGGATAGATGATATAGTTGGATGTCACTTGGAAAATGGTAGCTTACGATATAATGCAAAGAAAGCTGAAAACCTCAAAGAATATCACGATTTCTAGAGCTGGACAACGCTTCCACAAGCAGTGTGGTAGTGGAAAATTTTCCCCTTATAAGAAATAGACGAGCTCATCGCCCTGTGAGTGTGACCTTCACCTCAAAAACCGATGCTGAGAAATTTCTCGAAGAGATGCAAGCGAAGATAAGGAGAAAAACGCCTCGTAGGTGCCTAGATTTGCATATCTATGCTTTCCATAGACTAGAAATTCTTCTCGAAAGTTGAGGAATGAGAAAATGTCTATCGGTACTGTGTATTTTTTCAGCTCACCTGCTCACAAAGCAGCCGAATGGACGAGTTCTAGTTGTGATAAATCCGTTCAGTGGACAGAAGAAAGCTGAGAATTTATGGATAAAACATGGGTCCTATGTGCTAAAAGCAGCTGGAATCTGTGCCGATATTGTCCATACTGGTACTTGCGCATCCCGCCTGGAAGACAATCAGATTGAAAATAAATATGGATTTGCAGAATATCCTCAACATGCCACTAAGATTATGCGAGAACTCGATATCGACCGCTATGATGCCGTTTTAGTCAATAGTGGAGATGGTCTCGTCACAGAGGTAAGTGATTAATAAGACAAGTCTTAGGTACCAAATAATAATACCTGTTGTGATGGACGATCACAATCGTAATTTTCTTGGCACGAAAAACACAAGGAATTTTTGAATTTTTTTGAGATCTATCGAAGTTGTGTATGTCAGTGTAGCTAATATAGGGGAATGGGGAAAAAATTTCCAGAGTTATCCAGAGATTATGGAAACTTTACATGATAAACCAGTAATTTTTCAGGTTATCTGTGGTCTGTTATTACGAAAAGATCGCGAAAGAGCATTGAAGTTTCCTATCTGCCATATTCCTGGAGGAACAAGCAATGCCTTGGCGGCTGCTATCTGTTATGCTTGCAAGTATGTGAAAAACTTTGACTAATTCGAAAGCAGGCATGAATCAAAATTATAGCACAGCTTATGGAGAGTGGAAAAAATTGCAACACCAAGCACAAT